AGTGTTTTTAGCAGATCATGCCATCTTTAAATATAATAGCCGTTCTCAGTCCATTGTTACTAGAATGGTTCCAAATGACGTTAACAATCTAGCTCGCTCGCACTTTAAAAAATCCTCATAAAATATTCCAAAAGCTCGCCCATCTATTTATCGTGGGTGATTCGGTCACTACAATTTCAAAAACTTTAGCCGGATCGAAGTATTTCATGCTAATCTTTTAATTATCTTTGCGTAACGATTATTCTCTTTTGTTGGCATTGATTTGTTAGCTCAAGATTGGTCTCCCTAAAAATGCTTTTTTTTCAGATACGAGCGATGGTGTCAGGCCAAAACTCGGGAAATAGAACTTAAAGAAAGAGAGTCCTCACGAGGAATTTGCAATTTGATTTCGTTTAATTTTTCATTAAAAAAGCTATAAGAATAGGTTTATTTTCATGCTTATACTTTTTTGTTTTTTATTTAAATTGCGTCTGACACTTCTGGTCCAGTATGGATTCTTGGTCCAGACCCGGTCTTTGTATAACTACTAACAAATAATAGCAAATATTTGATTATTTAGATATTATCAACACATTTTTATTTCCGTGGCTTCAAGTTACGCCTGCGCCATTGCATTGCCACAAATAGTAATCATTTTGAAAACAATATCAATTGAATTGCTTCCAAGACAGTATATTAATGCATTTTTAAGAGTAAATTTACAATTTTCTATCTGAATTCGATATTAAATAATAAACTAAACATTCAAAACAACTATTTAACGTTCAATGGGGCAACGTGAACAGTAGTGCAGAATACGGATGATGCACCCGGAAGCTAATTTATCTCCCGGAAGTGGGAGAAACAGAGCAAAGTGGGTGGGAGAGATACCTCCGGTGGGAACTTCGGCCAGTGGGTGGAAGTAGCTTCCGGGTGCCTCATCCGGTGGGAATAATTCAAACCCGATTTGGGTGAAATTTTTGCTGATTTTAACCCAATTAAAGTGAAATTTTTTCTCTTTCTTTTCGCAACTTTTTCTGTTAAATTTTTTCTTCTTTTGTTTCACCGAAATGAGTAATTTTTAAACGTTTACATTTAGTAAATCTTATTTTTTACTGATGCAATTTTTAAATTCAATTACAAATTTTTTTAATGTGCAATTAAAGGTATGACTTAAATAGTAATTGAGCAAGTTGCATTGCAAAACCAAAGATTTGATTAAATATTTGGATGACCGGCCAATCGGTTTAATTCTTTCAATAAATAATCATTACAGCGGTCGAATGTAACAATTAATTCTTTTAAAGAAGAAAATTCATCCCGGTTTCTTTCTAATGCAAATTGTGCCCGATTGGTCATTTCCTCGCGAATTTCATTGATAAATTCGACCAGAGCCAAATGTTGAACTCGTTGCCGGCGGGTAATATCTTGGCATTCTTCAATGCATACCTCCGATATGTCCACATTGTCCCGAACTCTCAAGTCCAACAAATCAAGTTTTTCGTTAATGGACTTGTTGTCCTGGGCGAGGATGGTGAGTATGGAGTTAATATGTGTTGAAGTTGCACTAATGGTTTCCATCTGTTGATTAACTGATGAATTTGAGAGAATAGAGAGATCACCAAGGGACGATGGTGATGATGATGAAGTAGGTGGAACTGGTGATGGAGGTGGCGGTGAAGGAACACCCAACTCAATCTCCATTTCCTCGACATCATCAATTAACCAAATTAAACTAAACAAAATTCAACAGGCGTTTCACATCCAGGTTTATGCAACTTTTGTACAAAGAATGATTTATGACTCTTCTTTTCCGCAGTAAGTTTGTAGAAACAGACAGATATTTGTACTTTATCGAATGACTCAGCAAAAGCCATACAAAAATTAATCTCTGAATTTGACAGAGATACACCATACTTAGTATATTTGAAACTTTCCAAGGCACGGACATCAAGTCTCTTCACATTATCGGTAAACATTAAACGACAGATGAGATCAGGTTCTGAAATAACTGTCCACGATTTAATTTCACTTGAAATATTGTTAACTCTTCAAATTTTAAACTCCAAATGACGAGAATCGTTTATTGGTGTCTATTTAAATACAAGAGCTCAACATAAGAATTGAATAGCTCCCTATTCTTTTCAGTAAATTTATCCAGGGCAGTATAATCCACCTTCCGGTTTGTTGGTTTCTTCAGTAATCTTAGTCCTTGCAGTAAACCACTAAGCACATTGATACCCCTTATTTCCGTTTCCGGCCACTTCCTCTCTTTGATATCTTCTTTAGACATCTTTTTAGTTAAAATATGTATATCAAGTAGCTGTTCAACCGGAAACATATCATTATACATTGAATGTAACAACGCATCACAAAATGGTCATTTATCGGTCCAAAAATCACGAGGGGGTAGTAACATTTTCCAAACATCCTTATGAAACACTTTCCTTTTTAACAATAATGTCATCAAATCTCACATATGATGGTCTCTTCTCAAAATACTCAGCATATTCAATACAGAACTTATACTCAGAACCCGTTAATCTTACTAGACGGTTCAATGTTCTAGGTTCTCTATCACTTTCAATAGCAATCCTTCGTTCATATAGGTGACAAACCCTTACAGATAACTCTTCACAGGTAATGACTGACATTTTTTATTCAAATGATACAAACTCTCATTTTCATTCTCCTTTTATACTTGTCATGCATGAGTTAACGTCCGGTTTGTAAACTCTCTTAATGTTGACTCAATTTGTTCTTGGTCTTTAGCACCAGTTAATCAACGACCCAGTCGTATAATAAATCAAAGTTACCTTATTTATCTTTATGTAAACCGCAGGATAGATTTCCGGTTCATAAGTTGTATCCGCATAAGTATCAATCATCATTTTTGTATTAAAAGAATAATTAATGAAACTGTGTGCAGTTATATTAACAACTCTGAGAAATGATACCGTTCTTTCCGGATGTCATAAAAATAATAATCTTTAGACTAAATTAGAGATTGAGATTAATTATGGATTACTTATATCTAGTCTGCGGGTGAGGATTAATTAAAAGTATTAACTGAAAGGTTAATCCCACTTTCATCATGATAATGAAGATGAAACTTTTAGATAATTATTAAGTTAGATTTGGAATTAAGATTAATTAATCACATAATCTCTCTTTCTTTTTCTCTTTCTTCTCATTCTCTTTCTTCTCTTTCTCCCTCAACTATAAAATAAAACCCGGAGAAAGAGAAAAATAACCCTCAGTTCTCACCATACCCTTTACCAGAGAAGTTCCGGTCTCAGTGACTAACTTCTCTCTCTTCCTCTCTCTTCCTCTCTCTTCCTCTCTCTTCCTCTCTCTTCCTTTTCTCTTTCTCTTTCTCTTTTCTTTTTTGTTGTAATTCATCAATACAAATGTACACGACTTGATAACGTAATTAGTAAAGTTAATAAAAATTATATCAAATCAACGTTCAAGTTCCCAACTCTCTACTCTAAACTAATATTCATTTCACCAGATATACTTCTTGTAAGACAGCTCCCGCTGTTGATACATAAGTAAAACCCGTTGCTGTTACTTTACCAGATGCAAAAACCAAGAAAACTCCTTCTTTCCTACGTACAACTTCAGCATTAAATCTCTTCCGTCCACATTTATAACAACCGGATCCATATTCCATAATGAAACAATAGTAACAATCGCATACTTAGGCAAGGGTAATATTTCCATACTTTAAATTATCCAAATAAAAAACCTGACACAATAAAAGAACTAATACAACCACAATAATCACCAACGTAAGCAAAAGATCCATCATAACTGTCTTTCTAACCTTTCATCACTTCCCTTTTATTCAAAAACCTGTTAAAAATACAGTTTAATTCTTTCTACTGGAACTTCCGTTTAATAGGTACTTTATTAAGCGAAAAATTTCACCCAAATCGGGTAAAAATTGTTCCCACCGGATGATGCACCCGGAAGTTACTTCCACCCACTTTGCTCAGTTTCTCCCACTTTCGGGAGATAAATCAGCTTCCGGGTGCATCATCCGTATTCTTCACTACTGTGAACAAAAAAGTTCTTTTAGACAAAATCAATGCGAGCATCAGATTCATGACAGTGCAATCGTTATCATGATCTGGCTTTGCATCAACTAGTAATTTAGCGTTTTTAAAAGTCTAACATTGTAGAATATCATACAGAGAAGATTAGTAGCTCTTTTTTATCTTTTCATTTTAAAATAAAAGAAATGTTGGAAAAAACTTGAAAGCAAAAACGAATAAGAAAAAAAAAGAAGATAGATGGATGATGAGTGGTAAAGAAGAAGCAAATAAGATTCTTCAAGAAAAACATTCTTGAGATGATGATAAGATGCTTCAAGTTTCCACTCCATAGTCAATATGAAAGAAAAGAAAAATAGAGTGAATCAGATGATGAAATAAAGATAATGAGTGTAATTTAATTAAGATGATCCCTACACACTTGTTAAATTGTCCTCAGACTGAATGAGTTGAGAGTGAAGATGTACAAGAAGTAGTAAGTGTAATATGCAAGTAATATACATGTTTAGGAAAAAGAAAGGTGAGTATATACCGACGGGGAGTTGCATCAATCAAGAGTTAATTCCCTTGATTGTTATCACATTTCACCTCAACCAGAATAATAAGGGAGATAATTTATAACAGAATTGTAATTGAGTTACAGTTTTGAATCAGAGTCATAATGAATGGCTCGTTACCTGAGAAAATTTGTCTGGTTATACTTCATGTTTACACCATAAAAACGGAGTAAGGAAGATAAAGAGAGAGATAAATCCAGAACTACCTTGAAGCCTGAATATTTGATTGAATTCAGACTCTTTTGATTTTCATCTCATGCTCAGTTGACATAACAACAGGTTGTTATATAATTGTTATACTCCATGAGTATGAGCTTGGTTACTTTTGGATATTCAATTGTTTTCGCAAATTGTTTACATATAAAGTCAATTAATTGTCTTAATTATCTAAACAATGATGACTTACCGTTATTGGCAAAATCATAAAGTGATTGCTGATGGTTAAATGATTGCTGTTGATAATCATGTAATCGTTGGTTATTCGGATGATGCTGGGATTGTTGAAGATGATTAAGATGATGATGTTGTTGTGAAGTTGAATTAAAATGATGGGAAAGATGATTATTTTGATTAAGAAAATGATTACGAGGTAAGGTTGAGAAATGATGACCACGACGGGCTAACCTATTTACACTTAATTGATGACCATGACTATTATTATGATTAACTGAATTGGATAGATCATTTTTAGGTGTAACCGCTGAAATTAGTTGGCTCCATTTATGGTTAATTGTTGATAACCAATCTTTTAATTTAACACTTGAATGGTGATGAGAAGAGGATGAGGTTGGATGTGAGTGGGTTGATGTTGATGATGAAGATGCTGTTAAATTATTCCGCATTCTCATTGAACTATTATTATGATTACTATTAATTAGATTACGGGAACGTTCAGTTGATATGGATCGATAATTAGTTGATTGTTGCTGAGATGCTGATTGTTGTAATTGATATTGTTGCTGATGGTGTTGATGTTGTAGGTGGGTATGATTACGCCTACAGGTTAGCACTCCACTCATTATGTTGTTATTATTGTTATTATTAGTTACGGTTAAATGTTGTTGATGCCTAAGGGTATTATTATTATTACTATTTTCATTATCATTGTTGTTGTTTGTTAAAATAAGTTCACTTGTTATCTGATTAACTGGATTAAGATTATTATTATTGTTTGGATTAATGTAAGCACAGTTATTGGTTATCATCAAATGTGGACAGGGTTCACCTAATGAAGTCCATAGGCCATCGGTGAAAACAGTATAATGACTGACCAGCTTGAGAAGAGGAACAAGAGAATTGATAATTAATATCAAATTGTAATAAGAATTTGAATCGTGTAATATTTGTGTTACTCTAATTTTATATTTTATGTTATTAATACTTACCGACATTATTGATGGAAACTTGTGTCCATCCTGAATAGCCAGTTCTCCTGAGGCAAGAATATCAATTCGATAATGTTTAGCTGTACCTTCATGGCTAACACATAAGGCGTAACTTGATTGATCCCTTTCTCGAATTCTGTAGAGAAAAATGTTGACAAAAAGAGAAATAGAATAATGGTATTAGTATTATTTTTAGAATATTCTGATTGAATCTGACGTGAGAAAAAAAAAATGACCAACATTTAACAGGTAAAACTGTAAACAACATTTCTCTTTGAAGATGGAAATTGTCAGGAAAAAATGTCAACATCAACTTACTCATAAGGTAGATATGATTACAGTATGTAAATGAAGTAGTTTGTTTATCTTATCATCCAGAAAAAAAGTTGATAAATGGTTACTAAAAAGAGGGTATTAAAAAAATATAATTTGCCTCTTTCAAAGATTTACCCACTTCATTTGCATACCCACCACCCTCTATGTGCATACCACCCACTCACTTAACCCACTTGTAGTAGTATTCATGTGATGAGTATCAGGAAAAAAAGGATGATAAAGATTCTGATAAATAATAAACTAGTGCAAGTGATAAAAAGTATAAATAATAAAAAAAAATTTCTCTTCCAACATTTTCCTCTAACCAAAAATGCTAACAATAAACATATCATCATCATCTTCATGCAATAATAATCATTATGATGAAAATGGAAGACGAAGAAATCTTTATTTTCTCATGAATATGAATGTACAATATACACTTTTATATTAGAGAGAGGAGAAAATATTAGCATTCCCTTTGTCAGAATTGTAGAGAAAAAGAATATCCTAACCAAGTTAAAGCCTTAAATTAAATTATCGAGGTTTCAAATTAAATGATGAATACTCTTGTATATATGTACGTTGATGGAAAACAATATCATCTTATATATATCATGTATTTTCATTTATTATTTTCTTTTTATTGGTTAGTCAAATATTTACATGGTGATAACATCGTCCTTAGTTAGAAACATAGTTAAACTTGGGAAGTGATAGTTAATGTTAGTTGGCGAGTTTCTTATTCCTTCAGAATTGATATAAATCTGTTTTGTGGCTCAACAATCTCAATGAATTCTGATTCAATATACATGATATATATTATTATTTTTATTATTATTCTATCATGATAATGATTGGTTATATATATTGATTTAAATTCATTTTCCTTGAAGTTTACAGTTTTCCTTTTTTAATGGAATCAATTTGAGAAAGAAGAAAAAATTTTCTATTCCTTTTGCATTTTTCTTGAAATCATTTCTTTGTAGTATTCAAAGTGATGAAGATGAGAATGATATTAATATATAATGATAATAGTGGAGTCAAGAGAGAGAGAGAGAGAGAGATGATAAATACAGAGATATTGATTCCATAGCATAAAAGACTAACATTAAAAATGTCAGAACTTTTTGCCTGATAAATATATCTCTTTATCATGGATGTTGTTTATTTCTGAATATCATTTTCATTGAATCAATCATTGAATATACACAATTACATCTATGAAATAATAATAATATTGTCATTTAAACGAGAGAACTGAGAAAGCGAAATTGTCAAAAAGTTATTAAAATTATCTCTTGTATAATACTGAAGGAAATGCAATGAATTCCAGTTGAAACTGTTTAATGGGCTCACAATCTTTGGATATTAATCATGATAATCTTGTCATGAATTTTTAATTGACTTCTATCAAAATGATCCACATTCAACTGGTTTAATTATCATGAAAAAGAGAAAGAGAGATAGGAGAAAATTATTAAGGATTAAAACTAATTCGAAAAATGAACAATTTCCAATCTGATTCTAGTTGATATTCAGATTCTAAAGGTGAATTAATAATCGGATTTAATAGGATTTAATTCAGAGTATGAAACAAAATTACGTATATGCAAAATGATATCATTTTATTACAGGTTTATTTCCAGTGTATATCGAGAGTAATGAGGATTCAATGAATTACCTGAGAAAAAAATATCATTATTAACATTATTTATTATTAAGGATTAGAAAAGTAGAGAAAAAAAGTTCTTAGAACTTGAAATATTACCATGTAATAAGAAAATGAACAGAAAAAAAGTATTCGATATCAAGAGATTACGAGCTTGCAGGCATTTTTAATCTCGAACTAGAAACGAAAGAGAGAGAAACTTTTTCTCTTTCTCATTGATTCTTATTCAGCATTATTCAGAATTTATCATGCACACTCCATGGAAAATAACAATGTCTTGAAGCATCATGTTAATCAACAATCGCAAGTCAATATCAAATTAACCAGGAGAAATTCATTATCAGTTTAAGAATTTTTTTCTTTTGAAATTATTTATTAGAGAGAGAGAGAAAGAGGAAAAAATATATAATATTACAAGTAAAATGTTCTCATCATTATGAATTATTACCATTGGAATGCTAAGTAAACGGAAGAAAATAATGTAAAAAGGAAGAAACATTTTCTTCACCCACCCCACCTCATCTCCTCTTCCCACTCTCGTTAATGATGTTTAAGTTAAAAGTTGATACTTCGTATTGATTTTCACTTCCATCATCATCATCATCATCTCCCTTTCTAAACTTTATCATGGTGTAAATGTTAATGTTTTCATCCATGTGACAAAATTGTTCCTATGTAATATATTTGAATAAATATCTTTTCCATAGGAATCGTCATCATCACTGTTTCTGATGTGATTACATTCACATTTTCCTTAAGAAATCATTTCAGTTTAACAATTTTATCTCGATCATCTCTCTATTATTGATGATTAATCATGAAACTTTCATGATAACTTTCAGTTAAACTAATGGAAGATATCATCTTCGTTTTTCGTTGAGTATAAAATATAAATCAATGTTTCTCATCAAAAACTTACAAGACTTTCAAATCAGCTACATTTTCATGGTAAATTCATGATGAGGTTTTATTTTAATATGATTAACATCATTTGTAGTGAAAACATTTTTACTTCCCAAGTATTAATGAATAACCATTAACTTTGATGAGAAAATTTTGATAATATCATATTGATATGCCAATAATATGTAAAAGTAAATCTTGAATTTGAGCCAGAACTTTTTGTTTTCCGCTCGAAAAAGTTTCACAATCAACTGAAATACTAAATCATGTGTATATTTAAGCCAATTTCATGGTGTGTAAGAAAAATACCCAATTGGTGTTGATAAAGTGATAATATCAATGAAGAAAAAGGTAAATTTTTTATCGAATTTGCATTAAGTGGAAAATGAAAGGAAGAGAAAAAAAAATATTCTCACTCCATAAGAAAAACTCGCAGAGTGGAAATATGATGATGACGATAATGATGATCGCGGCGTAAGCAAGAAAAAGCCTCGAAGCAAATAGATGATGAGGTATTATTATTCTCTTTTTTTCTTTCGTTTTCTATTCTCTCCTACTTCCACCTTGGAACAGGGAGGTAAGGTTAAACATGCAATTCTCTCTGGGAGTGAAAAGAATGATATTTAAAAGAGAAAGAAAAGAAAAGAAAACTTTTTCTTTTCTTTGCTTCTCTCTTTTTTTTCTCTCTCTTGCCTTCTTTTCATGATAATGATGAAGAGAGAAAAGAAGAAGAGAAAAAAATGAGAGTAAAAGTTGTTTCTCTCTCTCTTTTCTTTTGTAATAACAACTTTGGCCAGGTACTGAAACTGGTTTAGTACCTGGCCAGATCTACTATCTTCCCCTACAATGTTTCCTTTCTCTCTTCATCTTTTCTCTCCGCCATTTTGATTAGTTGAGTTAACTTGATGGTGCTCAATTCTTCCGAGTTTGCTTATTTCTTAATTATTAATATTAATATTGATTAAATAAATTGTTCATCAATTTCTATTGTTTTGTTTTGATAAAATTCTTGTGACGAAACTCGTAGAAAACTTAAAGATTAATATGTTTCCGTTTCGTTTCAATGGTGACCCTTTTGACGTGATCTGTGTCCAGTTAAGTTTGCGTCTAACTTTTTTTTGTATGTGCATTTTTTATATATATTCTAACCAGTGAAAGGTGAACACATCGATATGTAATTATTATTTTTGTTTCACGACCTCCTGTTTGTTTCATTCATGTTCAATTAGATATTGTACTTAGTATTTGATCTTTTTTTTTCGTTCTTTCTAATTTGGTTGTTACAAGCATCAGATAGGTTCATATTGTTTGTGACCGGATTCGTTATTTTCTGTCAATTAGTCTCGAAAGAAACAAATGGTAAATTCTAAGTTGAAGTTTAACTTTCCCTCTTTCGCTCATATTTGATTAAATAGAATAAGCTACCTAATGTTTAGTAAATTTTCATATTTAAAAGATCGTAAGTAATAGAAACTGCTAATAACAAAAAAATCGTTTCTTTGTTCACCTAAAAAAATCGATTCCTGATTGTGATTCTTTTAATTGCTGTTAGCTTCAAAATGAATCTAATGATAACGAGTTTCTTCCTTGTCAATAAACCGGTTTAGTTGAAGTGAGCTGATTTCTTGCATCTTTACATTTCAAGTTTGATTTTATATTGTGAAAAATAGTCTTGGCCATTTTGCGCTAAACGTGAATCGATAATTAACCTTTACTTTTGAAATAGAAAAACTTGAAATTATCTTTGATTTTAGAACTTTCCTGCTTATTGTTGGCGAAGTTTTATCAACAAGCTGAGATTTTGTTTTTAGTTTTATCTGATAAATAGAAATATTGTGTCGTTTGAGTTTATCACCTTCGTCATTGGTCAATCCCGTTTAACTTCGTCTGGCAAACTAGTTATTGTTTATCACTTTCGTCATTTGGTCAACATCGTTTAAAATTTGTTTGATAATTTAGTTATTAATTATCATCTTCGTCATTTGATAAATTTCGTTCAACATTTGGTTAAAATTCGATTGATAATTTAGTTATTAATTATCATCTTCGTCAATTGAAAAATTTCAATTCAAAATTTGGTTAAATTTGTTTGATAATTTAGTTATTAATTATCATCTTCGTCAACTGGAAAATTTTAATCTAACATTTGGTAAATTTGTTTGATAATTTCGTTATTAATTATCATCTTCGTCAATTGGAAAATCTCGATTCAACATTTGGTTAAATTTGTTTGATAATTTCGTTAT